TAGGTTCGTTCTCAATGTCTGAATCACCCTTAAAATATGCTGAACATTATTCAATGTATCCGAATATCTGGTTTGTTCCCTTGCGCTTACTTCGTGATAACGAACAATCTCGAACAGTTACGTATATATTTAAATGCTACTCATGAGTAGCTACACAGCGTATTTAAAAATGTGAGCATCATTCTATTTTTCCATCGTCGCCTCACAGGTTGTTAATTGTGAATCTTTCCCGAATACCGTAACTTGGTTTCATTGATCTAACCGAAAAGAATACTGAGTGGATAACATGGACAGATATTGTGCTCCAATTTCATTCACACCAGTCCTGTTCCACTGAATTTGTGACAGCGGAATTAGTAGCCTGTCAACGAGTTCTGCTTCATAAACTAATCACTATAGAAAATAACTTTCCTAACTGCAACGCTCAACCAATCGGAGTTAATCTCCAGCTGGGTGTGGAATTTTTCCGTTCAAATTCTTGCTTAGGTAGAGTCAGATCGCTCTTTTAAGGAGAAGAAGGACGTACCGATTTTTTGCTTGCAACTCTGCTATCAATTGTTTTTGTGTCTGAGGAGAGTCAGCCACGTCGCCAAATTTCTGAAATGTCAAACGAAAAATGTTGCATAAGGATAATCAATTTTGTTAAAACCAGGTTTATTGGGCGATTGATCCTTATCATGATAGATGGATTATTATCGCCATTGTGATCAGATAACAATGAAAACGCAGATCCAGGATTTGGCATCCAATAGAACGCTCGCCTCCCTCGAAACAGTCTACAAATGTGACTGAAAGTTTTCCGGTTTTCGGTGAAAAAGACACAAAACAAGCGAGAGAGTGTATCACATGTATATATTTTGAACAATTTACCCAGGAGACGCGTATAACTCAAGCCACAACACCATCAGATTCGTACAAACAAGAGAGTTGCGAAAAAAGTGAAAACAAATTTAAATTCGCAGACCTCTATGGTTCAAGTTATCCCAGGGGGCCATGAAGCCATATGTTTTCATAACCGAATTCCAGTAGTAAGAGGTTCAAAATAATGACGCACCGAACGGAAAATTACCAAATATCGGAGAGCAAGGTTAGACAGCAAACTG